GGTTATGGTGACATACAATTAAAAATATGAGAAAACCTAAAACCAAGCCACAAAGAACCACACATGTCTAAAAAACAATATGCAATATAACAAAAACTGAGAGGCACTCAAACTGCCCCCCCCTCCAAGCTCTTGGAGAATAGCCAGGTCTTCAAGGACTTTTGGAATCTCATCAGGGTGGGAGCTGGATGGATATATTATCTAATAAATATTAGTATTTCTGTGGATTTCATAAATCCTTAAAAGTCCTGCTTTGATTTTAAGATCAGCAAAAGAGCCCCTTCATACAGCATCCTTGTTCTCAGATGCCCAATGATTGGGCATGCGCGAAACAGTCTTCCTTTGCATTGTTCCTAAGCTATGGAACGTACTCCCTTGCCTGCTGTGTTTGGCCCATGGTTGTTCTACCTTTAGGAAATCTTCTAGGCTTTACGGTCAATTATCTTTATCTATGTGTTTATTTTTTTGTAAGCCTAGCTAAGCATCTAGCCAATTTCAGATTATCTCAAAAAGCTAAGCAGATTGGATCTAGTGGTATATAAAATAAGAAAATTAATGAACAACATTCCTAATCTCTATATCCACCGAAATGTCTGCTTAGGATCCTGGCTTTACTGTTCATATTTTATCAGCATTATTTCAGCCATAGTCATGATCAGGCAATCTTTATAAGTCTGGGGCCATGTGGATGTATATATATATGTGCACTTACAGAATGTGAGTGTTTAGCTGAGAGATGTTAGAGGTGTCACCAGGTGGAGAGAACTAATAATTCTGACCTTATTTGGACTTTGGGAGAATTCTAGGGATCAAATACAAGCATTAAATCTGACAGACTTTATTTTACAAAAAGAAACAAATCCACTTACAATTAAACTGAAAACCACACTGCTAAACAGTAGAAATATTTATGTAAAGGCGCATTTTATTTATACATTTAAAAACACAATACAAAATGAATATGCAATGGAGAGACACCAAACAAGTGTAAGAAATACATATGAGTGTGATGAAATGTAAGTTCAAAGACCATCAGGTTTATTTTGCCAGAAGGGGAAAAACTGAGCAGCATCTATCGGTCTTGCCCAGAGTCCATGAGAATCTGACTGTCACTGTGTCTTGCAATTAGAAACATCTTCTTTATCTTCCGTTGAAAGCCAGTGCTTTAAACTGTTTTCTTCGGATTCTGTTCTGCCAGATCTTGTGTCTGTTAGAAAGAACATTTGGTAATTACTTTAATAACAATAGGTACAAATATTTCAGTATTCAATATAACAACAAGGAAATAAGTTGATCAGAAATGGTAGCTATTTGGAGCCTTTCTGTTTTTAAAACATCACACTATTAATCCTCATAAACTCAATATTATGAAGCATAATATCAGATGAGCAGATTATTTAATAACATGTTGGCACACTATTTCCTGGATATGTCATTTGCTAAATGGCAAACTAAACTGTGGCTCTCATAGAGCTGAAAATAAACCAGGGGATGGGGAATTCATTAAAAATTAAATTGGATGGAAGATATGAAATGATATTATCAAGACTAGCAAGCAAGGATAGATGAGGTGTTTGGCAAGATGTATAATTCCACTTGACTTACTTGCCTCTTCAAGAGAGAGACAGATGTTTTTGATGATTGCAACCCTACTTTGTTCAAATTTTCAAATAATAGATTTAGCAAATCCACATGTATTAAGATTACGAGAGCAGACA